ATTTCAAGGAAACTTTGTATATAATTACCTAACCTCTCAACTCCGATGTTTAGCTGGTGTCAATTTTTATTTTGCTTTCGTTCGCGAGTTATACAGATATAGGAGGAACGACCGGCTTTTCTACAGGCCGGTTTAACCAAGAGCCGTATACGTATAGCCATATAACTCGGAAATAAAGGCAAAACGAAAAAATTTTAACGAAATTTTAACAAATTTTTAATTTTTTTATTTATTTTTTAATTTTAAGTACTAAATTTCGCTCAAATCTGTTCAGCAGTTTGGAAAAATTTATTGATTACTGTGAATTTAAACACGTATTGCTGTTTAAATCACTAATGAAAGGGAAATGAAAAAAAAAAAACTCGCGAACGAAGGCACAATCGAAGAAATTTTCAGGAGCTAAACATTGCCGTTCGGTAGTTAGGACTGCAAATTCAAAATTTCGTACGAATCTGTTCAGTAGTTTTGAAGAAATTACTTGATAACTGTGAATTTAGGCCCGTATTGCCATATAACTCGGGCAAAAACAAACGATGGCAAAATTCAAACAATTTTCACGAGCTAAACATTATCGCTAGGTCCCAATGAATACGTGTAGGTACTAAGCTTCATCGAGTTAAGTTTATTAGTTTGAGAGATATTCCTTGATCATCGAATTTGGAAATTGGTCGTGAGACCGGCCGCGAGTCCGGTCTTGATATGATATGGTATATATATTATCATTCTGGAGGTTCGTGTTATATATTCAGTTAAGTTTCCAATGGATAACGTTTTTTCTACAAGTTCATAGAAATATTAAATTCCACGGCAATTGCTAATCAAAATTCATGAGTCGAATTGTTGACTCACTTATGAGTAATTATTCCTTACGTTAACTGTGATGGGATGGCTCACTTTATAGCGCCAAGCTTATTTGCAGGCATTTGAAGTGCCTATAGCTCATTGATTACTGCTCTCAAATAATAGGATAAGCTATTGACGAAATTAATTCAAATAAATAGCATAGTAATTGTTCAGGAAACATGTGCGTGTCATATGTGGTCGATGGATCAGAAGTCGAATTCATTTGCACGATTTCGAGGAAGAATTTAACTATATATAAATTAACAATTAAATTTGCACCAAAATTATTTAAATATTACATCATATTGAGAAAAATTTGTCAGTAATGTGGATTTCATCAATTTTGTCATCTTATCGGACTCAATTCTGTTCCAAAAGAACGGAGCGTTTAGTTAGTTAGTTGAGAAATTAATTTGATGCGAATGAAGAACCGGAAACATATATACGGTTTTCTGGCTTACTGCGGGAAACTCCTTTTCCCGCAGTAAGAATATTTTACACATTTTCACTGCATTATAGAAATAATCGTCGAATACGCTGCTGCGAGATGCAATCAATTGCAATCTCTTAGCCAGCGTTCAAAAATATCAAAATTTAAAAGTGACCAAATGAGACTATAAATACTGAGTGATTAGAACGAATAACCAAAAATACTGAACATTTAATAAGAAATCTCTTCCATCACTTCTTTCGCGGTATAACTAAGTATATTTTAATCTCTCGTGAATGCACCTGCAATGTAACAAGTTGGACTAGACCGATTCGTTCGTGCCAAGTGGAATGTAAAAGAAATTCAAATGAGACCATATTCACAATGATGTGGGTGAAATGTATGGGTGAAATGTGCACAGTAGTGCGATACTTTTTCAAATCGTATCCGAATAGATTTGTTGCACTCCAGATATGGGAAAATTGACATCAAATATGTGTACACACATAGAAAAAATGCCTAATAGTAGTTTTAATTTTCGACAACTTCTAATGGATATTTAACGAATGATTCTCTTAAGTAGATATCGATTGTTAGGATTCATGCCGGATTTCACATCATCAAGGTCTACGTCCACGGGAATACTTTTTCTTCATTAAACCTCTTCAGACTCAAATTTATCACCGTCCGGTATCTGACTTGATAACGTGGCTATGAACGGGAATAATAGTGGTAGTGAAGTACGAAAATTATTGTTATAAGAATATTATTATTATAATAATAGTCAATTAAAGTCTAAATTATATAGTGAATTAAGCTCAATATGTGGATTGCCGATTAGCAGACAAGTAAGTGGTCGTCTGCCAATTCAAAGACTGGCTTGCCATGGGCGCTTTGCTCATCGATATGACTTGTTATGTTACCCACCAAAAAAGATGCATTCTCTGGAATTTATCATTATGCTTTCAGTAATCGCAAGAGATTCTAATTGAATCAATCACATTATACGTAGTATAGGATCTGGTGAACTGCCGGCAGCTCGTATGATTGAATTGCAATCTTCGAAGGTTCCAGGCATTTACCAACGTCTGCGTGGCGACCTCATTGAATGATGCAAGTGTAAACCTGCATTATAGAAGGTCTATGAGTAGTAGATGCTTTTTTGAGAAATTATTCTTTATGTTAAGCGTGAAGTGATAGTTCACTTTATAGAGCCAAACATATTTGCAGGCAATTGAAGTGCCTAAAGCACAATGATTACTGCTCTCAAATAATAAGCAGAATTATTTTAGAATTAATTCAAATAAATAGCATAGTGATTGTTCAGAAAACATGTGCGGGACATAATGTGATCGATGGAATAGATCTCGAATTCATTTACACAAATTTGAGGTAGAAATACACTATAAATAAATCCAAAATTAGGTTTTACATAAAATTTCTTAAATACTGCATAATTTTGAGGGCAATTCTTCGTCAGTACTATGGATTTCAAAATTGTTAGGTCATCTTATAGGACTTATTTAAGTTGTAAAAGACCGGAGCGTTTAGTCAATTAGTCGAGAATTTAATTTGATGAGAATCAGAAACATTGATGTGAATCAGAAAAATCATACGGTTTCTGATTCTTTTGGAAATTAGAGCAGTGAAGTAGGATTCGTATTCTTACGTTTTTTCCTGCTGAACGGATATGTACCAACTTCACTACAATATTTCAACCGCCTCTTCGCCATCTACACGCTGCTTCGAGATGCAATCAGTTGCAATCTCTCAACCAGCGTTCAAAAATAATAAACACATCACAAGAATACATAAACAATACATATTCGAAAGTGATCAGGATTGATAATGAAAAATACTGAGCATCTCATGATGAATTCGTCATAAAACTTTTTTCGAGGACTAAGTAAGTTATCACCTGGCACGAATGCACTTGCAATGTAAGTGGTTGGACTAGACCGATTCGTATGTAGCAAATGGATAGTGAAAGATATTAAGAGGAGGCAAAATTCACAATTATTTTTTCGAAATGCATGGGAGAATTTCGAGTGAACCTCCCGCGATGATGTATGGGTGAAATGGGCACAGAAGTACGACACTTTTCCAAATGGAAGCTGAATTGATTTGTTGCACCTTACATGGGAAAATAGACCTCAAGTATTTGTACACACAGAAAAAATTCCGTCCCAAGTAAAATTAAGGGTGGCGCATCGATAATATAGGTGGCGATGGTAGATTACAGGTGGCGTAACGGTGGGTGGCCAGATCTGCCAAAAATCGACAATAAAACTCCAATAAATCGAGAGGGTGGCGAGTATAGGCGGCAGTCATCGATGATTTATAGGATCTGAATCATCGATGGCACATTGCAGGTAAATCTCTTGTAAGCCACCACTAACCGTTTTCCCAAACAGCACAGTGCACGAAGGAATTTGCCACTGTGATTTATGCAAGGTAGAAAGGAGTTATTGGGTTGCGGTTCATTCGAGATCCAGATGAAACCATGATTTCGCTCTGCGTGCTTGGTTTGTAAGATTTTGATTCACGTTTAATTTAGCGTGAATTCGGTAGGAAAAAACTGGCGGACAGTTGTAGGGCGTTCATAAATTTTTCATGCTACAGTGAAATAACTGGGCATTTATTGGATAGCTCCTGATATAAATTTTCCGAGTAGCAGTGGAAAATTTTTTTGCGAAAAAGAAAGTTTTCCAAAAGATGATGGTGAATTCAATTTTTCATGTGTATTGCAGCTAACGGCCACTATCTTCCTGATATTGTTTTCAAAACATAAGTATTCTAAATGGTATGTTATGCTAACCTCGAGGAAAATAAACTTTCTTTTTTATGTAACTCCATTACTCTTTTATTTCGCCTCAAGACTGCTCAATCGGTTCTACCCCACCCTGTATATCGCGTAAATTTATTGCGAATTTTGTGTAGGCTCCAAGTATGCTGTGCTTGAAATATTGCGATCAATTGAGACTAATTGATTGTATCAATAAGAATAAACTATATGGTTCGATTATGTGTGTTTCACAATATATATATTATTCTCCAGTTGACGCATTTATCTAAAGCCACGTTGACGCAGTTAACAGCAGCCCGGCATCGCTAAAGCGCAGCGAGCAGCTACACGTGTACACGTTCATACCTGTTGGGTTGGAGCACATCGTCGTTGGGCTTCTTTCTCATTAATCATTAACACGTCCTGCTTGGAATACGTGTTTTCCGGGTAATTTGCTTGTCAAAATAGTATCTTCTTTACGTAGAGGGATACGAGTAAAAATTCGAATTTCTGTAGCTGACTTCGATAGTAAAAATTTAATTATTTTTGGGAAATTACCCTACACCGCGAGATAATTATTTTGAGTTTACGACAACATTTCTAATTAAGTGGAGTCTACGTCTTTCCTACGAAAAATATTAAACATTAGGCTGCAGAAAAATAGTGACACGAAGTGATGAAGGCATTTCACGCCTAATTTTTCTGAATCATCGAGTGATAATTCGCTAAAACACGCAAGAATATACTTGACGAAAATATTTATCATCGAGCCGCTGTTAAAATTGGTGTGATGTTCACATTATGAAACTTCTATACTCATCAAGCATTTTCCTGTAGCCTTTGCTCTGAGCTGAACCATCGTTCGTTATGGATAAACGAAGTATCTTCCAGCGGCTGTTTTCTCGATTATAGCAACTGTTAGGCTTGATACAAAAAACAGTAAACAAAATGGAACTTTTATTTCAGAGATGACTGGTCCAAATCTTGAGAAAGCAGACGTATTCACAAAAATCTAGGATTGAACCAAGTCACGAAAAATGACGCTTGGCAGCGGTTCCAATACAGTTTATGGCCGTTATGCCGACGAATAAACCCGGCCCAACATAACTGTAGAAGCAAGAAATACTTCATAAATTTTACAATTCTGCATTCCAGTAGTAGTATTCCAATATCGCAAGTTTCATATACATTCATATAAGCAAAGCATTACACGGTTTACACACCATGATAAACGGAAGGCTCTTTCTATCGCAAACAGTGTCGCTGAAAGTCCTCATAAAAAAGATCGGAGGTTGGTTCTCACCGGATATGCAGTTATTCTATCGAATAGAAGGAATAAATAGCCGTTAGATAGTTGGTAATTAAGTCATAAGTTCTATGAACATAAATGTAAGACGCAATATGTCACTATAACAGCCTCGGACCCACCTTAAAATCTTTAGCCACCAAGCGGTTAAGCTGTAACTTTAAGAGGCTTGTGAGGCCATGTAAAGGGAAATAATGATTAATGAAAGTAGAAGAAAGAGAGGGCAGACTCCAAAATAAACAAGTAATTTAAGCTTAGGAAAGCACCAAGCTTCCCCAATAAGTTAGGAACAAATATTATACTTATCAGAGTAGAAAGTCGAAGCTCAAAGCTAAGGTGGTCGAACCACAAGAAAAGGTCAAGCCCAAATTTAACACTGGAGTCCGCCCTTTCTTAATCAAAGAAAGCGCGAACATGCATAATTAACGTAAATAAATAAAACGAAAAACAAAGAGAAACAAAAAAACGAACAAAACAAATAAACAAACGAACAAAACAACTCAAAATAATAAAAAGCAATTATTAAGGAATGGCTTTATACACTCATAACGGAGCAACATTAATGTGATGTTTTCACCACCAAGTCTTACAGCCAACTCTGCTATTTACACACCCATGCCTAACGATAGGCATGGAGAAAAAGAACTAATTTAGATCCTAAGGAATGTGGAAATTTCTAACAACATGTTCATATAAAATGGCGAATGGATCCATCTAAACATCACTGTGGTAGCGTTAACTTCTATCATTCGATGAAATTAATATTTGCACTACTTCAGTTAAATCTTTTAAAATTACTCGACTGTCATGTCCTCTCCGATGGCGCAACGGTAGAGGCTCTGCTTCGCGTGCGGGAGATCTGAGTTCGAATCCTTTTCGAACTCAGGCCGAGACTTTCTTCAAGTCGATTTCTCACGAGGTATGTGTATGGTACTCTGAAAATTTGTTCCTGTTACATGTCTGACATTGTTACTTGTACTGCCAGGGTGTATATTCATACGTAGTCCTCAGAATATGGTTGTCTGGAGCAATGTCAGTAAATGTAATTGAATATGTGAAGCTGAAAGACAATTTTTTATCGACTTCATTTTAAAGGTGGCCATCGGTGGCTCATCGATGCGCCAGCGGTGCCAATGGGCAGTTATTGGGGGTAGAAGAGTTTTTCTAGTAGGGTGGCCATAGCCAGGTGATAGGTGGAACATAGGCCGGACAAGCCATCGATGCCACATCGATGCGCCATCGGTGCTCCACCTATAATTTCCACCTGTAGCCACTGATAATCATCGATGCGCCACCTTAAATTTTTATTTGGGGTATAGTAGTTGTAATTTTCAAGAAACTCTAATGGATATTTAACGAATGTTCCTCAAGTAGATATTGATTAGCAGGATTCGTTCTGGATTTCAAATCAAGGACTACGTCCGCTGGAATGTTTTTATTCATTAAAGCTCTTCAGGCTCACATTTATTACCGTCCAGAATGTGACTTAAAAACGTTCCGACGAATGGGAATGATAGTGGTGGTGACGTACGAATATTGCTATAAGAATATTTGAATATTATTATTAGAATATCAGTCGTGTAAAGCCTAAATTAAATTGTAAATTAAGTTCATCATGGGGATTACCGGTTAGCAATGAACTAACAGGTCGTCTGCCATCTCAATGACTTGCTTGCCAACGGGTCTTCGCTCACCGATATGACTTTTTATGTTACCCACCAAAAAGATATATTTTTCGGAACTTTTCATTATGTTTTCAGTAATTGCAGAGAGAAATTCAATTGCGTTATACCAATGACCTGGATAAGTGCGAAATAATAAATTGTAGCGGGATGGCCTATGATTACTTTCCGACTGTACGTATTATTGATACGCGAGTTGAGGGGGTAAACGACTCCTATATCGACGTCATCATGGTGATAGCGTTGAAGTATTCAAGCATACTCATGGCTTATACAAGGTCCCAGAAGAATTACTAGACTTAGTTACAAACCAACACCAGGGGCCACGGCTATAAAGTAAAAACTGCGTTGCAACTCATCCACGCGACAACATTTCTTCTCGCTTCGAGTCACCGACATGTGGAACAGCCTCCCTGATTACATCGTTGACGCTCCGAGTATGAACGCGTTCAAGAACAGACTAGATAAAGCTATTGAGAAATATATGTTCAGACTTGAAATGCCTAGCACCATATCGTACCGAGTGGAAGTCTAGTAGCTACTTCAAACTATCGTCAGTTTGGAAAAGACCTGTTGTTAGATCTCCTGTGTATGAGATCAAAGGACCTGTTTTAGATCTGTGGACAAGTCCCGAAAAGTACAAGAATCAGGCCAATTCCTCAGCGCCGACATCACTATGATATGATATCATGTGGTATATGATATGATATGATATGATTGTTATGATATATTTAATTAATAGTAAATTAGGTATCGGCAACATGAGTTGTTGATCAATATTCATCAACAACTCCTTCAAATTTCAACAATTTGTCTGTCGCTTCTCTATCATTATGTATATCGCTAGTTATATGTCTTAATTAATGTCTTACAAATGAAAGATTTTAAAAAAATTCACCAAACCATTAGAGTGTATACGGACTACGTTCCTAATGAAGTTAGCCCTAAAAATATTATTTTTGCGCGAACAAAGAAACAATTGAGCCGAACTAAAAAATTTACTCGCCAATTCTGGCAGGACACCATTAGTTGGATGATTCTATTAATTACTAATAGTAGTAATGATGTTTATTAGTAATTAGCCTTGTTTTATTAATAATTTGTCATTTTGTTCAATGAATAATAGCAGCGAGCAATCAATCCTATTCGTCATGTTAGTCTATAAACAATTCTTGAGCATCGTAATCTAATAAAGAAAAAAATTAACATTGTTCGTTAGGCATTCGTTAGGCATTCACTGGTCATGGAGCAAACAGTAAAGTATACGATGAATAAGTATATAAACGATAAAATTTGTATCATAATTCCGTATGATGTTTCCATAGGATTTATTCAGTTTTCCAGCTCATGCTTGTGTTTGTGCTGCTCATCATGAGCGGCAAATAAATACGTCAGAGCTGCACGGTGAGAAGGGGGCCTTCCCAGGGAGAATACACCATCTTCAGACACCATATTCATCATTAGCAACTTATTTGCAAACTAAAGTAAGAGAAGTTGAAGTGGAGGGTGGAATTTAGTCATGACTAGAATATCATATATATCACATGATGGGTGAAAACGTTGCTTGAGTGACACATCTGGGGCCTTATCCATTCGGACGCATGGATCAAATGGAATTTTTTATGCATATGGTATTTTCTGCTGATTGGTATTATCTGCTTTACATTGGTGCATTCTAATGTTGGCTGCTTGAATGTTTTGATTGTTAATTTGAAGAGCTTAAGGATATTTTTAATAGGCCTAAAATAGGCCTAATACGCCGCGGGGTTACTGTTCCCTCCACTGATAGCAATGCGAATATATCGAACTGGAACTCCTCTAGTCACACAATTAGAAAATGTCCATTTGATGGCATGTATACATTTGTGTTAAATTAGGTATTGGCAACGCGAGTTGTTGATAAATATTCATCAACAACTCCTTAAAATTTCAACAATTTGTTGAAACAATTTGTTCAAATTTAAACAATTTGACTCTCTCATCTTTAACAATCATATTCATCTCTTGTCTTAAGTCTGACTTACAAATGAAAGCTTGAAAAAATCATCAACTCATTCAAGTGTAACCAGACTGCGTGTCTAATGAAGTTAGCCCTAAAAAAGTTATTATTTTTCGCATAGAACGAAACATTGAACCGAGACTGGGAATTTACTCGTCAATTTGATGCTTCTAATTAGTAATTTGATGCTTCTGTTAATTGCTAGTAGTTATAGTAGTTTTAGCAGTAGTAGCTGTAGTACTGTTTAATACTACATAGCCCTGTTCTGTTATGGAATCGTTATCTGTTCAATGAATAGAATGTGAGCAAGCAATCCTGCTCGACGTGTTAGCCCATAAAACATTTCCGAGCATCCTTATTTAATAGGAAAATAATAACATTGTTGTTCGCTCGGCACTCTGTGGGCATGGGGTAAAGCAAACAAGAATAAGATAAACGATAACATTTCTACGAGAATTCCGCATGACGTTTCCATAGGATTATATCGTTTTCCAGGTCATGCTTGCGTTCTTGCTGCTCTGCATCATCGGCAAATATTAAGGGGGGGGGGGTATACCCAAAAGTATACCCAAAAATTTTCGGATTTGGCTTTTCCTGTTTTTAGTCTCATCTTAAAGGTGACATTCTTCCCTATCCAACGGTACCATTGCCATCTCTTTATTACGTTGAATTATGCTTTCAAGACAGATCATGAAAGGGCGGCGGGTTCGGGAGTTCTTTTACAAATTAGATAGGAGCTAATTCGCTGCTGAGCACTTTAAATATAGTGTCTAATTGAGTTACCTTTCAGTTACCCGTTTAGTCTCATCTTAAAGCTGACATTCTGCCCTATCCAACGGTACCATCACCATCTCTGTACGTTGATTTATGCGTCCACGACAGATCATGAAAGGGGGACGGGGAGGGAGTTCTTTTACAAATTAGATAGGAGCTAATTCGCTGCCCAGCACTATAAATATAGTGTTTGCGTGAAGTGCAGTTCAGTAACCCTCCTGGCGTTGTATGAGGAGGTGCGCATGTAGTCGCTTCCACCATCCTTGACTGGAATCTAGCTCCAGAAACGTTTAGTTTCTTATCCTTGCTACGTTGAGTGCCTATTGCGATGCGGGCGGGACTTTGTCGCGCTCTCCTGAACCGTCACAGTTATTGTCACGGAAAACCTATCTCCTCCTAAAGTTTTGAAGCTACTGCGATGAGACATATACCATTCAATTTATAAAGACCATACCTATCAAGTAGCAAAACTTTTTTTTAGATTTGTGAATAGTTTGGATTGAAAATGGAGGGTGGGGA